TTTATTTCCAGTAAATTCGCACTAACGCAACAATTAACTTTTAAATCTTTCAAAATCTATCGCTATGACAACGTCAACAAACAAATCAAATATCGCTTTAAATAATTCAACGAATCGCTATTCACAAAATCACGAATTTCACTCATCACGAATATCTTGCGACGTGCGCTTCTATACTCTTCGCAAGCGTCGTTTCTAGATTCTTCTCGATGGTCCGATTCTAGCATACTCTAGAATGCTCCAGTCACTAGAACATTCTAGAATACGCTAGAATCTAGTGCGTTCGGTAGCACGGTTATAACAATATATATATATATATATATTATGTAACTATATGATCCATCATGTGCAATTATCAATATATAGTATATACACGTGCACAAGTTCTTTTACACAAAGATCAGCTTATAATTTATGCATAACCCATGTTATAGCATAAAGAAAATTGTCCAGATCACCTCACAATTAGTGATGTTGTTATTATGTGTCATGTATGCCTTTAGCTTAGCTTTAGCCATTAACTTATTGACATAAAATTAATTGAATTCAATAAAATTTTTTTTCTATTTCTAACATTTTTAAAAGTTGATAGACGCTTAAATCCGGCCCTAAATCCGGCCCTAAATCCGGCCCTAAATCCGGCCACCAAATCCGGCCGGGGCCGGATTCGACCGGATTTAAAAAAAAAGCCGGATTTTGGCCGGAGCCGGGGCCGAACTTCGGTGCATCCCTAATTATTATCATTGTTATTTAATTGATTAATTGCTTCACAATGTTAATATAACTAAATGATGTTATGGGTTGATGTTTTGTGTGCTGATTTGTTGATTGATTAACATTATTAATAATATTATTACGGAGTGAATGATGTTATATACTGGTGTTTGGTGTGTTTGTTTGTTTATCTAGTTTTGTATGGTAACTGTGATTGAGATAACTGCATCAATTATATATATATATATATATATATATATATATATATATATATATATATATATATATATATATATTATTTAAAGTTAACAATAGAAAATTATTTTTTTAATATTTTTCATTTTGGACAAGTAGCAATTTGTCATTCGCTGGCCTTTGCTCTTCTCATACTGGATCAGAATTTGAAGAGTCAGGTTGGTTCAATGTCGTCACCTCATAAGTTGACGTCATCATCCCATTGTAACTCATGTATTGTTATCTCATTGTGTATTATTTAATGATATTGCCCTGCTGTGCATCAGTTGATATGATCAGTTCATTATGTATCTATTATTATTTCATTATATATCATTTAGTGATACCGCCTTATTATACATCCATCCTTTGATGTCTTCATCTCACTATATATCATGCATTGTTATCTCTTTATCTGATATCATTTAATGATATCATTACCTTGCTGGGTATCATTTGACGTCATCATTTGTTATATATCATTTGTCATTATCTCTTTATATATCCCTTATGATACCACATTATTATGCATCATTTTTGTATCATTTTTTGGCAATGAATCATTGTCATCATCACGTTGTATATTATTTGATTTTTTTTACATTTAATCAATCTTTTATTCATTGATAAGTTTTTCATGTTAATTTAATGAGAGCATTTGTAATCTAATATTATTTTTATTCATGCATTGAATTAGTGATTTTTCTTCTTCTGAATACCTTATAAATGATGTCATTTCAATTTCAGCACAACCTACAATCTCTGAGATGTGAGGACTTTGTTGAGAACTTTGTTGCAAAGTGTAGAATGCTGAATGGAAGTGCAGACGACGGTGTTGATGACGTTTCAAGTGAGGCATTGAAAACTTTGTACCAATCAATTGTCGACGAACCTCTGGAATATCTTGTGTCGGTTTTTTTTAATGAGATTGATTAGTGGGTGGATGGATTTATGAATGGACGGACGGATGGATGGATGGATGGATTTATGGATAGATTTATGGACGGACGGACGGATGATGGATGGATGGAAGAGGGATGGATGGAAGAGGGCTGATAAAATATGGATGGATAGGTGATTGATGGAATGAATAGAGGATAAACGAATGGTTGAATCAATGGATGCATCATTTATTATTACAAATATTATTACCATTATTATTATTTGAGAATTTATATAGTACTTTCACCAAAATCTTCTAGAGTGCTGCCAAATTGAAATTTGAATGGTTGTATTATGAAATAGAAGATGACGATGACGATGTTGTCATTCAACAAGAACCTGCCTATCTATATTCAATTACTTTGTATATGTTCTACATTCAATTGCCTTTCATATTTTCTACACTCAATTACTATTTACATGTTTATGCTCTATTTTATGACAGTGTTACAAAATAATAATGATGATGCTGGAAGATGAGATGGCAGGCTATATTTACACGCATTCTAATTTTAATGGCGTGCTGTGTTGTGTTTCCTGCTACTATAAAAAAGATGCTTGTTTGGTGGATGCAACTTGTTTGCGAACAACGTTGAAATTGCCCATGAACATAATTTGTGTTCACATCAGTGAGGAGCCAGTTGAACAGCAAACACTGGCGTTAGTAACGCAGCAACAGCAACAACAACGATACATAGTACAAACATCATCTGCCTCGTCTCAGTCTTCAACAGCGAACAACAACAACAACAACAAAGTTATCAACAACACTAACTACTTTGTCCTGGTTTATAACGATTTCATGGTTCGTATCATTTTTTTATTGTAGATACACACACACAAACACAATACAAAAGTTGTCAGCAGTTGATGATTGATTGTCTGTCATGCTTTAGCTAGCTACTATTAATGGTTTATGCATTAATCTGGTCTGATTGTATGTTGAGATGATGTTGAAGTGTGTGTTGGCTCTGTGCGCTAACATTTGGCAGAAAAAAATTTGCTCTGTGAAGCATTTCTAAAATGAATTTATGATTGGCAACATTTAAAAAGATATTGTATGCCTGCCATTCATCATTTATCTCAACTTAAGACTTTGTTAAAATTATTAGAAACACTCTTTAGAGGATGTTTAGTTGATTAAATTTATGTGATAATTCTTTTGGATATAACGATGTATCACCATCACTTTACAAAAAGTTATTTCTATTTTTAGTGAAGGTAACAAGCTTGTTGAAAAAATTAATTGAAATTTTACTTTATTAGGCTTGCTTATTTAATCTCTTTCTCTCTCTCCCTCTCTCTTTCTCCCTCTCTCTCTCTCTTTCTCCATCTCTCTCTCTCTCTCTCTCTCTCTCTCTCTCTCTCCACAGTTTGTGAAGTGGTCGGATTCGAATATGACAAAAAAGACCCCCGTCTATCACATGCTTTGTGTTTGATGCATTGTTCTTTGGCATGTATTCATGTGTGAGATGTTTGTGTGTTGCTCATTCCTCTGCACTTGGGAAGTGTCTGACAGACCTTCAAATTTTTTATCTCTATAATTAATGCAAATCCATCAAACCACCAACCAACCAATCAATCGATCCAACGAACAGCGATTGAATTTTGAAAGCCCGAACAACCAGGCAGCATCGACATCTTCATCAGCAGCGCCGTGCAGGGAGTATAAGAAGGGGTACATCATGAGGAAGTGCTGCCTGGACTCTAATGGCAAAAAAAGTTTGATTTTGTTTGATGTTCAGTCATTTTTTTGTCCATTCTTTTATTCTTTTATTTATTTATTCATTCATTCGTTCGTTCATTCATTCATTCATTCACTCATAGCATGCTCTTAATCAGGGCAGTGTTAATCATATTGCAATAAATAGCACAGTTCTTCATTATTACTATTTATTACTCCTTTACACCAGTAGTTATAAATTCTACTATTAATCGGGCTAATAAAATGTGTTTGTCTGTGTGTGTGTGCTTCCGTGTGTATGTGTGTGGATCTGTGCGTGCATTATTATTGGCATGTATGGTTCGCAATTCCACCCATCATATATAAATGTGTGCTAATTAAATTTACACACAAATACATTAACATTATATAGAGTAAAATTTGTGTTGATTTAGCGGCTATGTTATATACTAATTAAATTATCTCATACTAATTACATATATTTTAATTGTAATGAATTTTAAAAGTGTTATTGTCTTATTTAAGGATGGTCTCTTCCTACTAACAATGATAAATTGTGATAAAATCCACGTTGTGTCACCGTCAGTAAACTTCATCTCATACTCATCATCAGCCAACATCATGTCCTCATCGTCATCCTCATTACCATGAACACATGTCACGACATCAATCTTTATAACCGGTAACATCGTGTCATCATTGCATTATCACCATCATCATGCTATTCATCGGTTATATCATCATATTCTTCATATTATTTCATATATGTTATATATATATATATATATATATATATATTGTATATATATATATATATTGTATTATATCATCATCATCTTATTGTATCACATATCCTCACCACCATCATCATCATCAAAATCGTCATCATCATCGCGACTTCACAGCTGGCCTGGGTCGACGTGGTTGGAAGATGTTGTACGCCATCATCAAGGACACCGACCTCTACTTCTACAGCAGCGAGCGGGCCAGCCACCAGGCCATCACCAGACCTCAGCGAGCCACAAACAGCACTGCCACTTCTGTCGACGGTAAGGAGGGAAAAGAGAAGAGAGTCCTGTTTGGGAAGAAAATTTTAAAAAGTTTTACTGACAGTGTGGGAGATAAGAGCAGCAGGAAAGGTGTTGATAACTCCGTGAGTGTTGCAGACGATGAAGTTGCTGCTGGTGCTGCAGACGATGAAGTTCGAGGTAGACTTAGAGAGGGCGCTAATGCGATTGACGAGGTTGGCGGTGAACGCACGAAACTTAATTCCCAGAATAAAGAGAACGTGGAAGTTAAAAAACAAAACACTACAACGACTTCCTCAGCAGCAACTGCCACAACTTCAAAAAAGCTTCCGCGACCGCTGATGAAAGCGACGACACTAACCACCTCGATAACGTCATCAGTAACGGCCGGCAGCAACAATGTCATCACATTGTTGCATGCGTTTGCTGTCAAAGCTAACGATTACACTAAGAAGAGTCATGTCTTCAGATTACATACATGTGATTCAGCTCAATACCTCATTCAGACTAGGTTAGTTCTATGTTTGCTTGTAAAGTTCGCTTGATGTTGCTACTTTCTTATATTTTCAATTTAGTTTAAATTTGCTGAATTTCAAAATATTCTTTCAGTGTTGAAAGTTCTCGTGTTTAAACCATCTTGGTACACATTGTTTGCTTTAATGATAAGTTCAATAGCAAGTATGCTTGCTGCTTTCATTTGGTTGTTTTTATTTATTGTGATTGTTTTTATGATGATTGTGTTTGTGGTGGTGATGAGAAAGACGATGACGACGATGACTATGATGATGATGATGAGGAAGAGAATGATGATGATGACGATGACGATGATGACCTTTCAAGCGACATGAAGGATTGTCAGGAGTGGATCGACGCCATCAACATCATCGCTTCCATCTACTCTTCACCCATGGTCTTCAACAACAACAACAACAAAAATAACAATTATAACATTACTAGCACCGATATTGAAAACAACAGCAACAACAACAATAATAATAATAATAATGAGGATATAAATAGCAATCTCGATCAGGTGGACAGTGTCATAGTGAGTGGCCGGAAGTCTGGCAAGGGTCTCGACGTTCACATCAAGAAGTTCGACAAACCACTTGTCAACCTTAGCAAGAATAATTTGCCGCTGGTTTGTTTCGTTGTTGTTGTTAGGTTGTATTATTGCTATTGAATTATTTTCATTTCTGTTGTTGTTGTTGTGGATGTTATCTTTGTTGTTCAGCCTTTTAGATCTCATCACAAAATATCAGTCACTCACAGAAAAAGTCCATTCCAATGTTTTTCAAAATTTTTCACATGATCACGCACCCACACAGACATACACATGCTGCCTAAACAATTACTCAACACCCAAACACACATACGCAGCCTACCCTATCAAACGTAGAAGCACACACACACACACACACAAACTCACTCACACACACACACATACAAACACACACACACAAACACATACAAACACCTACTGATGCAGCACCAACAAATGGAGAAGCACGATAGGACGATACAGATATACGAGAAACTTCTGCAGCAGCACCAGAAGCTCGCCCCCGAGAAGAAGGCCACCCACAAACTCATACAGGAGTACTGCAAGAAGGAGAACTTTTACTTGTTTGAAGTCATTATTTACAGTTGTTTGCTTCTTTGTTGGTTTCCTATTGGTTTGCTTTTGTATGCTTGCACTCGTTTGTCAAGTATTTATAAATATAAGTATTTATAATTATTTATAATTATTTATATTATATTATGTATTATTTATATTTTGTATTTGTTCGTTTACTTGTTTTTGTATGTTAGTTTGTGTATATTAGTGTGTGTTTGTTTTTTTTTTTTTGTTGTCTGGGTTGAAGAGTTCAAGCCCAAACGGTAGATTTAATTATTTAAAAGAAAAAATGTTTACTTTTGTGTGGGTAGATAATCAGCTTGTGAACATTTTATTGTCCAAATCTGAAATGCTAACATAAAGATTTATTGTGATGAAGGAGATGGATGCCAGTTGATTAATTAATTAATTAGCTGATCGATAGATCAATTAACTAGTTAATATAATTATCAATTATTATAACAACTAATGGTTTGATCACTTAATTACATGCCTGTACTTTAGATTCGCAGATTGAAGTTGTATTCGAAGTTGATCCTGCAGCAACTCATCATGTATCCCCAGTTGAGTCCGTCTCTAGCCGAGACTTGCATCGGTTCGTTCACGTTTCTTTCGACATGTTTATGCATCACTATTTATATTCAGTCACTTGCCCCAGCAGATCTCATATCATCCACACAGATAAATGTATCAGAATGTTATTTATACGAACAATAAAGTTTTGGTAGGTTAAAGGTTTCTTTCTCTCTTTTACGTTTGCTTCAGAGATCTCTTTGTATTCGAACCCAGTCATAGCAATAGCAAGACCAGGCGCCTTTAACCATTGAGCCATCACGCCAGTTAAGATGTTGCTAGCATAGACTGCTAAACTACTTTAATCTAAAATAATGTACTCCAATAAATTTTAATTGCTTCAATGTGACAGATATAAAGAATGACAGAATGAATGGATAAATGAGTGGATAAATGAATGGATAAATGAATGGATAAATGAATGGGTAAATGAATGAATGAATTTAGGAAATGAAGTGAACAATGCAGCAGCAGCACTTATCGTAAAATAAACTGAATTAATAATGGAAATTGAAATGGTGACCATCTGCATCCAAACTTACATGCATGGAAGGAAAAATCTATTTCATCTGATGTTGTTGATGTTGACGAGGTCATGAAGATATTTGTGCGGTTTAAGCAGAGCAAGAGGGCATGTGGGAGATTCCTACAACAAAACAATGATTGTGATGATGATGAGGAGGAGGAGGAGGAGGGGGGGGGGGGGTAGATGAGGATAATTTCTATCATAGAGATTATTCTCCTGACTGTCTGTTATTACGTGAGGGTTGTGACTGACGTTTGCACGTGTCACAATCCGAGCATCCATGTTCCATATTTGTTTTCTATATTTCTATCAAGATTCATCCAAACATTTAGTAAATTTTTCCTATTTTACTTTTGAACGTTTCTCCTGTGAGGCAATAAAAATATTTGAAACATTTTTCGAAGTATGACACAGAGTCTTGCCGGAGTCGGATTTGTTTGAGGGGTTTTTTTGTTTTCCATCCGACTCCGACAGGCTGACATTACATGCTGAAAAGTGGACACCAGTGTTAATTGTTGATGTACACCAGTTAATTAAAAGGGGAATGTTGCTGTTACCCCTTCTATTTTATAATATGTCTCCATGCCTGGTTCCATTGTTAAGTCTGGTCGTTGTGCTTCATTGTTCTGTATTTAGTCTGAAACATATTTCACAGAGCTTATTGTTTCATGTCATATTAACAAATATTGAAACAAAGTTTTTATTCAATGTATCGTACCAGTTTATGAAAATTGGTTACTTTTCAAACGGCAAGCAAAAATAAAAACTTCACAGCGTCATTTGACAAAACAGCAACAACACTCAACAGGACATCCAACATCACCACAACAGACTGCAGCACAAAACACGCAACATCCCACCAAAACACAACAACACACTCAACAACACATTCGACAATACATTCAACAACGCATTCAACAACACACACACACTGACAGGAGAAGTGGAGGAACCAACGCCCAGTCCGAAATCAAAGGCCCTGAGGGCAGTCGCTAGGAAGTTTTTCAGCACGAACTTTCAATACAATGAAGACGAAGTGGAAGAGGTTTGTGACGTCAGAAATGTTGTCGCGACAATCGGCGCTTTCAAGTATGCAGGTAATGTGGTCGTCGGTGGGTGGAATGGCGATCGGTTCACCAACTCCACCCTCACACCATCCAGCAAAAAAGACAACAGTGTTGATGTTGCAGACAACATGTCAACATTTATTAATGTTGATAGGAATGTTGATGGGTCTGATGCCGAGTTTAATTCAACTTCTGCAACAGATTCGTTTGAAACAGTACCAACTTCATCAGCAAATGCAATACCTGCACCATACATGGAAGGATCCTCAACCTCCCATGAGACTACTTCTCCAGCTTCACAAACCTATCTCAAGGAAAGCATCTCATCCAGCACAACCACAACACGTTTGTTAGACAGTGTAGTTGCAGATTATTTCACAACTGATTTAATTAATGGCTACGCATCTTCAACAACTACATCAACAACAACAACATCAACAACAGCAACAACATCAACAACATCAACAGTGGCGACGTCAACAACAACAGTTATGACGTCAACATCAGCAGTGACGACGCAACTACTACCGCCATCAACCACCACCACAACAACAACTGCAACTGCATCGACTTCAACTCAAGTTGCAACATACGTGGAAGCAGTTTCGTGATGTCGATCGTTAATGCTGCCTACATTTTGCGTTAATATATCACCATCACTCGCTACTAATAAGGCTCATGATTGATAACAATATCATTATTATTATTATTATTATTATTATTATTATTAAACAATAATAATAATAATAATGTTGTATAATCATAATTAATAGTTACAATGATTGTGAAGTATTTTTGTTGATGTTGTTTTTATTACTGATTAGAATGCTACACGTGTATTTTTGGTTTTTTTATTAATTTTTAACTAGTCCCATTTTGTTACACGAAAGAATGGAGTAAATGAACGAACGAACGAACGAATAAATGAATAAACGAACGAATAAATGAAAGGACGAATGGATGAGTGCAAGTTTGGTTGAGGTGACCATTTAATGTTAATGTCATCATTGCACATTTTACTTTTTCGAGCTTTCTGTTGGAGTTGTAACTTTAATATAATAATGTTGAAAAATCGATTTTTTGCATTATATTTTTAAAAGTAAAATACCGTTAAAGTTTGATGGTGTTGGGGATAGAGGAGGCGGTGATGTGTAATGATATGATGAGTAGGTTCATGGTGGTAATTGCTATAAATGGGGATATAGATGCCAACTTAAAAAAACTTGTAGTCATTTGGTTAGTATTCTGCATCCGTCAGCAGTCATCATTTCACATTTCATCATCAGCCTCTTTTTATTTTTGTAATAATATTTTCCCCCTCTCACAACCCTATTCTCCTTCGTTTTTTTTTACAATTTTTAATCATTTCAATCTCATTTTAGATTTCAACTAATTTTAAACCAGAGATGGCTATTTCATGTGTTTCGATGTCTGTATGTATTACTATGTTTGTGTGTATGTGTGTGTGTTTTTGTGTGCATGTGTGTGTGCGCGCACGAATCCGTGTTTTTATAACCACTGATTTACAGTTGATCATTTATTTATTTATTTATTTTATACCAACAATCTGAGATTGAACTACTGAGAAAATTAAGTATCAATTTAAATATGCATGCATGCATATATGTATATATGAATATATGCATATATACAGGAATATATATATATATTCATATATATATATATATATATATATATATATATATATACATACATACATATATTTGTGCTAATATGTGATCTGTTAATTGTTTGAATGATATTTGTACTAACTTTCTTTACGTTATCTGTTCCCATTGCTTCCTATCCTTTCTTTCCTATATAAAAACAATGTCATTTCCTATGTAATAATAATGACGTTTTAAATGCCATAAAACATGGTTTGGCCCCAGAGGGGTGTTCCATCATGGCCCGTCATCGTGGTTCGTGGCAGGACAAATGCGGAGGCGGTCGGTCTGGCAGCGGTACACGGCAACCTCCACAAAGCCACCTTAATCGTTGATGACAGGAAATATCTTCGAAATCTCACAGTTAAATTCAACGCGCATTCATCATCTTCCATCACCAGTTCAATCTACAGGCCACCAGGTCACGACGTTTCTTCAAATGTTTCCCCCCATTCTTTGGACGTTTTGTAAATTAGGAATATTTTCATTTTGACTATTACTACATTTTATTTTTTCAAATTCTCTCATCTCTTATTATTATTGTTGTTATTATTGTTGTTATTATTATTATTATTATTATCTTGGCATTTTCTTGTGTTTTTTCGGTTTTTACATTGAAGCAGATGATTGTTTGATAGCAATTTTTTTATATAAAGCCATTTTAACTCAGATCAGCTCATTGTCGTTATGCATTGGATTGTTTTAAGTTGTTCATCTGTCCTTTTCAATTAACTGGTCCTCATAAGTTAATTTGTATGTATTTAAATAATTGCCGTTTATTTTTATTTGCATTAACTTTTTATTTTATTTTCTTTAGTTTAAGTTGATAGGTTACTCGCACTATGGTATCCTGCTTATATCGTAACGTTTTAATATTTTACGTTCCTTCATTTATTTGGAAATTTGAAATACGTTGGTTAATTTTTTGTAAAAATTTGATCATATGCGCCTCCGTATGCGTGTGTTGGTGTATGTATATATATATATATATATATATATATATATATATATATATATATATATATATATATATTATTTAATCGGTTAGTCAGTCAAATGTCGTTTGGGTTACTTGTTTTACGTTTCTACTGTAATGGTTTGCATAATAGCGTGTTAATAAATTAGTTAAAATGCACTGTTGTGAAATATGGTATTTTGTTGATTATTTACTGTTTGAATTATTTCGATAATTAGATTCAATCTGGGTATTTGTATTCTTTTTGTTGTTAAAAATCATCTTCTCAAACATTAAATACACACTCGTTCTTAATTTACATTTGATAATGTTCGTATGGTTATTCTTTACAGCTTTGTTTCAATGTATTTTGAGAACGCTTAAGTTACTTTTCGTTTGCGAAACCTGGTCAACTTTTATAATTTTCATAATCAGAAATTTGTTTGATTTAGAAACTCTTATCTTACTCAGGCTTTTATGTTCATCAATGGTAATGCATTTCTAGCCTTTGTCATCCTAAATTGTAAAATTGTGTTTGTTCTTGTCCTAATCAGCTAATTAAAGTTTGATTTTCATCGTTCGTATGTTTGTTTCGTTCATTACAAAGTGTTCCTAAGTTGGGTTACATCGACCTGGCCGCGATTAGTTGAGCCGGCCGAGATCACCGCGTTGTGTTTAAACAAGATGTTATGCAAAGACAACGTAATAAATATTTTTGACGAGATTGAATTGTCATTGTGAGCGATATTACATATTTGAAATCTTCGTGATTTTATAATTTTTTATACTAGTTGAAAATGTCAGGAATTCCTCCGAAGTCGTGGCAACCACCGTGCGTCATCGTTGAGACAAGGTACCGGTTGCTTTCGTTTTCTAATATAAAATATCAGTACCTTGTTGGTAACTAATTTAACACCGTTTTTATTTAATTTTAAAATTATTTACTATTTCAATATTTATTCATTTTTAATTTTATCGTTATTTCATTTATTTTTGTTTGGATGTGGTTCAGTGTCTAACGAAAATTTCAAATTTTAATTCATAATTTAAAATAGAATTTAAATTTAATAATAAAAAATTTTAAATAAATAGTATTTTATTTACTATTTATTAAAATTAAATACTAAATAAAATTTAAACAACTAGTTACTGTGCTAGTTACTAGTACAAGTTACAAGTAAATAAGGATTGTGCATAAACATTGTGATTTTATCTAATCTCTACTCTACTTGATCAAAAACTGACATTATTAATTAATTATGAATTTTTGAATTATGAATATAAATTTAAGTGTTCAATTATTTAATTATATAAATTTTATTTAACATTAGATGAAGTGTTTAATTATGCTCATTAATAATAATAACTTCTGACTTAGCCAGTGATGTGATATATATAATAATGCATACTGTGGTTGTATCAACCATTACCTGTTAAATATAGATAGTTGGTTTCAAATCTTTTCCATCGAATGCTTCTTTAGTTAGAAAAACAATAAGTTAATGGATGATGATTATTCAAAAGACTGCAACTATAACCTTGTTAATGCAACAATAAACCCAATCAGTAGCGAAATCAAAATAATCATAAATATTTTAGGTGTTGCTATTCATAATCAATTTAAAAAAGTTAACACTTAAATAATTCTTCCGCAAGTTAACTATGTAAATATGTATTGGCTTATTTTTATTAAATTTATGTTTTCTTTCAAATTCATCTAATTATTTTTCTAATTTCAAATCAAGCATGGGTAAAATGGAGGTGGAACTTTATTGGAAACATGCCCCAAGAACATGTGCAAATTTTGCAGAATTAGCAAGAAGAGGCTACTACAATAACGTAAAGTTTCATAGAATCATCAAGGATTTCATGGTCCAAGGGGGAGACCCTACTGCTACTGGTTTCTATTTTTTACATAGCATTTATTTTTTGTACAGTGAACGAATGTTTAGCTAAAAATTTTTTGTTTCAGTTCTGTTAGTTGAAAAGATTGTTTGTAATATTTACTTAAAATATTTATGAAGTTTATTTTCTTTCTATTCTGCATCTTACTTAGGCAGAGGGGGTGCTTCCATTTACGGGAGGTCCTTTGAAGATGAAATTTCAGCTGATCTTAAGCACACAGGTTACATATAAAATTTTTTTTTAAATTTGAATCACACTCACAAAATTTATTTAATCATAAATGGTTCAAAAGCTCTAGCATATATTTCCACTCTATAGAAATGGGTTTGAATTTTGTTTACTGTATCTTGATTTTATAGCGAATATGTAAATAGTTTGGTTATCGATGTTTTTTACTTGATATTCTTTCAAACTAATGTTTTTATATTGAATTACTTTTTACATTTGTTAAAATCAGGTGCAGGTATATTATCAATGGCTAACAGTGGTCCCGACACCAACGGCAGTCAGTTCTTCATCACATTAGCTCCAACTCAATGGCTGGATGGCAAGCACACAATTTTTGGTCGGTTGTCAAAAGGCATCCAGGTTTTGAACAGGATAGGTCTTGTTGAAACAGACGATAATGATAAGCCTCTTGAAGATATAAAAATTCTTACTTGCCTAGTACCAAGCATAAGGCTTTGATTGACAGTTCTGTATTTCATTTATCTTACTTTGAAAATTTTTTCAACTATTTTGTTAAAATATATATGTCATTAACATATACTGTGGCGATTTGACTTTGATTTTACGGCGTTTGATGATTATTGAATTAGGATGAGCATAAACCGCATTCAATGTAACATTCAATGTTATTTTTGTGTTTAGTGGTGCGTGACGTTTTTTCTGAAGTGAATAGCTTAGCTGAATGACACCCTCATGAATGGATGCTATTGTTGCAGAGTAGAACAATTGCAGGTTTCTGTTGACTAGCTTGTTGCTTTTACTGTAAATATAGTTACAAACTTAGAAATTAACAGCTTTCATGTCGCATTTCGTCAACGTTAATTTTCGTGTTTATTGTTACAGAAATGTTTTAAGTACAAAAGTTATTTTACATTTTTAAAAAATATGTCAAAGTACCTAGAAGTCAACGTGAAACAACACCCGAAAGAAATCGTCGAAACCAAAACATGTCCAAATCAAGTACTTTATAGGGCTCCGGTACATTTTATGGGTCGAAAAGCTCCGGCGCCATCAGTCGACGGTTTGGAAAGCATTCAGAAGCCTTTACGTGAGATGTACACTGCATGTTCATGTGTGCAGGTTATGAAACGAGATACTCCAAGAGATGGATATCTAGTTGTGTTGAGCAGCGGTCTGTGCATCGTACCAGTCAATCCGTTAGATCAAAAACTTTGGATAAGAATACAGGATTTCAAGGGATGTGGAGTTGTAAGAGGTGTGGGAAGTGATTATACACCCAATGGAGCCCACACATTAACGTTTATGCCGATAAATTCGCCTCAAGCTAGAACAAGTCCACTTCCCACCATATTTACCGTCTTGGCGGCAAGAGGAGAATGCTTACCGTTAATTGATTGTTACGCATTCTCATGTCCAAGTGAAGAAGTTGCAATTTCATTGGCGTCATCCACAGAACAAGCTTTTTCTGATCGTAGTGGATGGTCAAACAGCAATAAACCGCCTTTTGAAAATTTGTGCTATCTGGATGAACAAACAAAATGCCCAGAACCAGAAGATTCGTGTGAATTCGTAAACCCTGAACTTTACAAAAAGCCGCCACTCAGAGGTTTCTTTTACGCACCGAGTCCTGGTATGATTCGATCATATGACTTGGGTGTAGAAGCTGAAGCCACCCTGAAGCCAGAACTTGAACTAGTTCCGGATAATACACAAGTTCCTCATGAGTGTTTAATTGTCAGTCAAGACATACAACCTCAACAAAACTATTTCTGCCCATCCTTTCAAGCAGAAATAATTCGCCAACCAGCAGAAACACGAAATATATATATAGAAGTCGATAAGACTTTCGATCAGTGCAGCAATCCCGCAAAAGTTATTAAAAAATCGTACGAGGCATTCAAACCCCGTCAATGTGGCACCAACAAAGCAGGTTCGTTAACCCAGGACCCGAGAACAAACACGTGCAATTTGGTAGATTTGAATCAGTGGATCAGCGCCCAACAAGCCGCTGCAGCAGTCCCGAACTGGACGGAGGAACAAGAAGTATATCCACAGTCTGAAAAATTGGTGATGTTTGCACCGGAGTTCGGGTCGTTTGATTCTACGTTTCTACAGGGAGGTTCGTACACCTATCCTACCGAGGGACCGTATGGCATCTAATACGTTACTAAATATTTTACTACCTTTTACTTTTTACTACAAAGAGTAAGAAGGTTCAATGATCATTTTACGATTTCATTTATTAAAATGCTGCACAATCATTTAACTTTGCCGTATTGTTTGTCATATTTATCGATTTTGACTAAATTAACAATTACTTCTTAACATTTGACTAAATCAATTAGACCACTCTTATACTATAATAAAACATTTTTTAGTTGTATTAGTTTATTGAAAACAAATTCACATCTTCAACAATGTAGAAATTAACATTTAACAATTAACAGCTTGAATGTCCTAAAATTTTGATCTATTTGACTGCCTTTCATTGCCAAAGTAGACTGAAATTAAAAATTTATTCAATTATTGTTTTAAATGTTGATACCAATTAATCAAATTTTGATTTTTGTTGTCATGTTGTGAAATTCATTTGTCAAGTGTCAGTTACGTACAAAGGAAAGGCAATAAACATGATTGTGAAAAAAGTCTTTAGCCTATTAAAAATGTATAGCAAAACATTTTTAAGTAATAAGTTAAACACAGGCAGTAAAAATATTAATATTATTTCACATAATTAGTAAAAAGTCATTAAAAGAAGAGAATTTATGCAACCTGAAAAAAGTTAATGGGGGTGTACCAGGCTCAGCTCCTTTCCTGAAACCTGTAATGGTATTATAAAGACCAATCAATATGAAATTAAGATACTTTCACGAGAAATAATTAAATGTGTATGTTTATATTGATATGTAAAATATTAACAAGTCTTGCTTTATTTTTATTATCATAATTTTATTAATCCTTCTAAACGTTAAAAAATTAACTTAAGACATTATTTCATATCACAAAAAGGTTTGGCATAAAAAATATTCAATATAATTTGCCCTGTGGGAAAGAAAGAGAATATGATAAGTATTGGTTTTATCACATTTGTATGGTCTCAGACATATTTAATGTACATTCATTTTAATAAACATATAGAATAAATAAAATTCTTTCGTAAATTATGCAACAAATAATCAATGACAAGTCAAAATGGTAATACTGGCAGAGTTAGAGTATTTAAGCATGGCTCCACTTCATTTTCAGGTAGATTTGTTTTAGCAAAAGTGAAAATCAGTTACTAATTCACATTGGTTAGATAAGCAGCAAACAGCAGCAAATTAATTTTTAAAATTTGTGATTTGGATGAAACAAATGAATGCTTGGATTCATGTGAATTCATAAACCACTATATGAGGACCAAACAAAAAAGTATCTTTGCAGAGGTTCCAATTGCATGTAGCTAGTTATTAATGCCACGTCATGTATGGAATTAAACATTATTAATTTATTATTAATTATTATTAAAAAATTATAATTTAACAGGATAACATGAATAATATTTATTATTAAATATAAAACATTATGAAGTATTGAAATTTACTTGTTAAATAGGTTTACTTGATCAAATAAACTTTTAATAACCTCATTATTTGCTAATAAATAAATTTTAATAATATAATTCCACAAAACAAGCAAAAAACCAGATATGTTGAATTGAGATGTCTGTATTACTAGTTATTTTTTAATCAAATAATTTAATAATAATTTGCATTTTAAATGTTAAACAACCTAAACAATACAAATACATAACAGTAAACTTAACAGACTGTACTGTAAGCTATGTGTAAATTAATTTTAAATTTTAAGTTAATAGAATAGGGAATACAATAGATAAAACATGACTATTAGCATTAGATTTAGCATTGGAATTAGAATTTAGATTAGTAGAGGTAGAGGGGTAGGGTATAAGTAGCTGGCCTGTGGTGTCTTAAACTTGAAATAGAAAACGAGCAACTACAGAGCAGCATATAAAGAACTTTTAAAAAACATTGTGAAATGAAAACGAACCCAAGTACAAAACTGTTGGAATGAACCCCCACTGGAACACTAATTTAGCTACATCAACGGTAGATATAAGAACCTGCTTCGCTTTACTCGGCTCGCGTTTAGGCATCATTTTCAATTTATCTGGATTAATACAAATAAAAAAAATTATACCAAAAAATTATTCATATCTCTCCCAGTAGAGTGACTCACTCGATCGGCAGGTCGTGAAAGGAAATATCGCTCACAAAAACAAGTTAATCCAAAGATGGGTTAGAATCATTTTCTTGAATTGAAATGACTTGACATGGCAACGGCAACCTCAATTCTAGTAAATTATTTTACTATTAAGGTTAACTTAGATACAACTGTCTTATGATGCAGTTTTTGTAGCACAAAATTTATTTTGCATTCATCTAAGGAAGGATATTAAACTAGCTCTTCCCTACCATTGTGAAAAAATCATTCAAAAATCATTCATCACAAAAATTCAACGACTCAGTTAACATATATAGTGGTCTTTCTATAATTTAAACATCTTTGCTCTCAATGGTATATAAATAAATGTTCACCGTTTCGTGTACAATTTACTTTCCATTTAAAATTTAAATCACCTCGTATCTTCCGCTTTAGAAACGTCTGCGTTGTTAAATATTGGAACATTGCAATTATTTTATTTATTTTTCATCGTAAAGCTTTAATATTTTCAACAAAGTCATAAAATTATAAAATACCGTTGTCATAAAATTTTTATAAATAAAATAAGAATCAAACAAAACTCAATAAATCAAAAAATCAAAAGTGGAGACAGGATCAACTCTGCCTTCCTGCTTGTCTACCTGCTTTCGTCAGTAGGTCATCAATCACATCATGTACAAAGCGATTTATTCGTACAGCAGCGAGAACCCGAAGTTGCTGTCCTTCTACATTGGGGAAAAGTTCCTTCTGTTGAAGCAGAATGAGAACAACTGGTGGCTAGTGCAGAAGAAGGAGGGTGACGTTGGCCTCGTGCCCAACAATTACATCACCAGATGCGATGCCAGTTTTTATTATAATTAATTTTTAATTAATTTAATTAACTAATTATTAAATGAAAAATTTAAGTATTTTCCTTTTTTAAATTTTGAAAATCAATAGTCTTTTTTTTCAATTTTTTTTTCTGAAAATTGGCATTATTTTTTTTCAACTTTATTTTTTTTTATTTTCAAACAAATATTATCTCAAAAATATAATTGTTATAAAATTTATTTAAATTGTTTAATTTGTTAGGTTTTTATGTTTTGCTTATAATTATTTTGAATATGATAATCCTTTTTGGATTTTATGAATAAATATAATAATTAAAATAAGTATATTAATAATCATATTTCCATTTTATAAACAGCCTGATCCAATAGAGTTCTTAGACTTTATCAAGTTGTCGTCTGCTCGTGCTCCGTTGCGACCATCAGCATTTAGCAGTGATTATATTCCTCTGTCATTGAAGTAATTGTTATTGTAAAATTTTTATTGTCTATATTATTTATTTTTCTACATATTGATTCAGCATTTATAAATGTTGATCTTAAGTTTAGCTGACTCATTTTACATGTTATGGTTTACCAAATCTCATTACTAAGGCCTTTTTGAAAGGAGGAGTGCTTGAGATGACAAGCAGATCAGGTGCTTGCTACCTGGTATTATTTGCTGAATTATTTCTTTTCTACCAATAGATCTTATCTCCTTTTCTACCAATAGATCTTATCTCCTTCCTTCCTGTTATTCAAATAAGAATTGATTGCTTATGTAGTTATTCTCCTATTAGCAATCAACAGATTGTTTGGTATTCTTCAACTATGCAGCACTGTTCTATCATTTTAGTTTTTCATGATTTCCATGTTTGGAACTTTAAAATGAATTTACTCACAAATTTTGTTATAATCAAACCAATCCCCTACCACCTACAAGATGTTTGTTATACGAGTGCACTTTTTAACATCAGTATTTATTTCAATGGTAAACATAAAAATTGAGAAGCTCAACAATTTGTTAGTCTGAAATTCCAATTTTTGTACTGAATGTTATCATTTACGAATCAAATGTGAATTCAACTCAGGATCAAGAACCACTACAAAGAACAAATTTTTGCAAGACATCCGCATTTATTGGAAGGTAAATTTGTTCAAATTGAATTTTATTGTTATCCAATTTATGTGGTGATTGAAGTACAATTCATTTTGTTGGCTGTAAAAGTTAGTAGCAAATGAACTGTGCTGACTGACAGATGAAAGATATTGCAATGCCTCTTCAGCTCATAAAAAATCTCAGGCTTCTCTCCCTCTAACATCATCATATCCATCTTGTTTGTCATCATCTTCGTCAGCTCCATCGTTTGAGCCACAGTTGAACACCAACCCCCACAAACACCACCAACCTCCACCACCACCACCCACCACGTCATCAAACGTCGTCACTTCCCCCCTCCTTAATGAAACCGACCAGATTACAAAACACCACACAGCACCAAAAAACCTCTTTCTCACTCTTGCAATGAAAGTTCGAGATCACACCAAAGTCGACTACCACACATCAAAATCAACGGTTCACCTAATTCTCAATGAATTAGGATTCCATTTTGATGACTGGGGGCCAGTTTTGATTGACATTTTGAAGCAGGATGATGACAATAAAGCTGATGATGGTGATAGTGTGGCTGCCACTTCAGCAAATGGGCTGAGGGATGCCGGCGATGGTGTGTATGTCAAACAAAAGGATGAAAAAGTTGGTGTTAGGGCTTTAATCATCATTATTTCATTTTCGCTTTTTTCATTCTGTAATTCAAACTCAATTAAATGCTGGGAATGCATCAGCATGCAATGTGTGAAACAACATGGAAAATAAGAATTTTTAATATGAAAAGTATTAGTCACATTAAATTGGAGCGAAATAAAGTGAAGCAAATTTGGAATATGAAAATTTCACTTGCTGTTTTCAGCTTCACAATTTGAATCATCATTGTTATCAATATCTGTAATTTTATTCATTGTTATCATCATAATTTTCATTATTGTTGTCATTATTTTAGTTAATATTATTAGTATAATTTCATTGTCACTTTGATAGTTCACTATTTTAGTTTCAATAGCTGCCCATGTCATGGTCCTAATAGTCACTTGTTACATTCATCATAACCAATCAGTCTTCAATATTTAATTGTTGTTAACGTCATTTTTGTGCTACTCATTTATCATGATATCGCCTTTTTCTTCGTCATCTTCTTTCTCGTCATCATCCTCATCAATTATATATTATCATCACAATAGTTTTCATTTTGAATACTACATCAACTGCACTCACAGCTCCACATTCGACTTTCAAAGTTTTTCATTTTATATTATTAGCTGTTCAATGAAACTCACGCACATAGCAGTTAATACTGGAAACGAACTTGAACAATTGAATCTATACAACTTAACAATGTTTCAGTTGGAAGCCATGCTGGAGACGAACGATGCCAGGGACCTGATGGCAATCGTGGAGAAGTTGTCAGACATCAAGGAGGACTCCCAGCAGAGAAGCTGGCACTTGCACGAGGACCTCCTCGCCATCACGCAGCTGCTCAAAAAGTTGCTCAATCTGCTGGTTGGTCGGTGCATTGTGGAGTTTCTATCGTTAAGAATTTTTGATTTTGATAACTCTGTTGCTGCATTTTTACAATCTTTTGGGCAACTCTGTTATAATTAGTGGCTAAGTTGTTTGTTTTTATGTTATATATTTTGTTATAATTTGTTGTTTGCATTGCAATTCATAAATTGATTACCGTGCACAACAAGTACAGAACGCCATGATGATAACAGCTGCAAAACATGTTCTGCATTCTTCAAGCAGTAATTATAATTAATCACCATGGACAATGGACGGACTGGACAATTAAATTTATAATTGCTTATAATAACTTTGGCAAATTTTTCATGCATGTGTACATGCACATACAAATATAGATATATACAAATTTTCACACACACACACATACGCACACACATAATTTAACAGATAAATGCAAGTCCAGATTTGAACCGATGGATATTATCCAGAAACCATTATGAAGCCTGTCTCGACCTGGTACTCTACTACCAAATGGTGGGCTGCTTTGCTGACTTTCATTTTGCGTGGAAATTCCTAATATATTTTTTTTATAAATATTTTACTTTCATTTATTCATTCATATTTTTATTCATTCATTTGTTTTTCTTTGCATTAGCATTTTCGCTCATTGTTGTATTCACTCCTTCATTCATATTTACATTTAGTCTAACTTTTTTTTTTAGTCTTTTCAATCCAAACTATTTTCATCATTTTGCAGCCATAAGTTTTATTAGTTTAGTGCTGCTTTATAAATATAATTTGCGTAGCAGTCTTGTGATGATGGGGTTTTTCCTAAAATACATTCACAGACTTGAAACATCATCATCGTCATCACAATCATCATCACAAATATCATCTGTAGTCGTTATTATGACAGTTCTAATCATCGTCATTACAACTCATCATTGATACAGGAAACTCGATCCTCATTACGTTTAATAATGCTGGATATCTTCGCTAATATATGCTCTTTGGATGGTCACTTCCTTTCCGAATTGCTGGCTTCTGTGCTGCCGCTGGAATTGTTGAGAGAGGTCAAGGATCAATCAACTGGTTAGTTCTGCTGATGGTGTCACGTGGTGATGGCGTCACGTGGTGATGGCGTCACGTGGTGGTGGTGTCACGTGATAATGGTGTAACGTGATGATAGTGATGTTGTTATGGCGATTATATTTTAAACGATGATGCGGTTTATGATGATGAAAATGTTTTGTAAAGATGTCATAAATAGTAAATTACATTATTTATATTAATATTAATAGTTGAGTAAGATTATTATGCTATTGATCACTGAGTTGTTCGTGACCGAAGCATCAACGTCATTCACTCACTAATATCATCGTCTCTCACTCACTCATTCACTCACACATTCTCTCACTCACTCACTTATTCAACCACTCACTCACTTATTTACTCACTCATTCACTCACTCATTCACTATACAGACAGTGAAAACCTACCAAGTGTTATCATCGTCCTCTGTATGCTGTTCTCAACAGGAGAGAACATTCCACATAATCATTACAGTTAGATCAATATTTTTTTTATAGAAACATCTATAACTCTGAGTTATTATTATTAATGTTATTTCATTTTTTGCACAAAATTGTGGTACATTACTTCATCACAAATAGCACTGACACAGTTAAAATTGGTCGTGAAATTACGTTCCCACTTTTTCAATTAAATTTAATTTGTGTGTTTTTATAATTTTGCAAGCTATCCTATAAAATTACCGTTTCAAAACCATTAAACTTAGATAAGCATAAATTATAAAATAATTAGGTCTCCATGTAAGTATTCAGTCTCACTGACTGTATTCATTTTTACTCGCCACCAGTAATTTTCCCATTTCAGCATACTTCAATGAAGACTTCACAATGCTCGTGCTGGACATAATTGAAAGTGATACCGAAATTATCTACTCTCCTGAAATTTCAGAATTATGTATCAAGTTATTATTAGCATTCAATTTGCATCTGGAAGTTCTGAAGGATAACATTTGCATGAAGAGCGTTGCAAAGAAGAAGTCCTGCAAGTATTTAACTGAACATCTCTTGTTGCTGTTCAACAGAGGAGGTTGGTCTGTCTGCCTTTCTACCATGCTGGTTGTGATGATTGCGACGATGGCTGCTTTATTATTTGTGACGACAGTTGTGCTGATAGTTAGTTTTGTGATGATTATTATGTGATGATTATAATGGTCATCGAGTTAGCTCAATTAGTAAAAGTGTCAGGTCTCACGCTGCTATTACGCGATGGCATGGTTCAAATACTGTCTGTCCAAAACTCAAAAATCATCATACGCATATAATATGATGCTTGCGCGTGCATGCATAATGTGTTCGTGCGACGTGTGGTGTCGATAATACAGCCGTTGTGCCACAAAAGTTTAACTACAAGTATAGAATAACTTGTAAGCAGATCTGCCGTTGTAAGGAATAAAAAATAATATTAGGTTTATTATGGGTAATGATGAGAACTGTTGCCAGACACATTAATCCTTCTGAAGAATTAGGGAAGTGGTTGCAATAATGAGTGTAGCTTGAAAGTGCACGCATAGGTTCATTGTAATGATGAGATACATAGAATGGGTGTAGCTCGTAATTATATTGTGCTGCTGTAATTAGGTCTCTTGATGAAATTATCAATCCGTCTAATTATGTATGCGTTGTTAATTATATGTCGCTAAAATAAACGTAAATAATGACTGCACAAACTGTGTCATTTTACCATTTTGTTCATTGTGAGTTTTTCTTGCCATTTCTTCGCATGGCAACTTTTAAGTCTCAGTTGTTTAAATTTCTTAATTATTTCTCTAAAATATATTTTCTCATTGTTGCTACCGTTACGTATTTGTGTCTTATTTCTAAACTAGACGACCCAGTGAAACTTCCAGACATCAAATCAGTCCCAACGAACTCTGTCATAAAGTTCATCTCAGATATATTCTCAGACACAGTGACCTCAAACATCTTCTACACAAACGATGCCAAAGTTCTCGTTGATATCGTGCTCAGACAGCTTACCGATCTTTCACCTGGAGATTTCGTTCGCTAGTTTTTCCCATTTCTGTATTTCATAATTTTATTTGAAACAACTGTTCATTATCTACATTATACTCGCCATCTTTATTATATATTCCCATTAGTAAAGTTTAATTAATTTAAAGTGAGTATGAAACAACTGTTCATTATCTATATTATACTCGCCATCTTTATTATATATTCCCATTAGTAAAGTTTAATTAATTTAAAGTGAGTATGTGGTGTGTTATAAATTTGAAAAAATTTCAGATGAGAACGGAGCACTTGTCTCTGATGCAGTTGGTTCTTTTGAACTCAGGTTACTTTGAACAACAGCATCGACTGCAGGAGTTGAAGTCTTGTTTGAATAGAATATACGATGAAGAAAATGTGATTGTCGATAAGGACATCATCCGACAAATCTACCATCAATTTCCCACCTATTTTGATTCATCCAGTTGCTGATTTCTAGAAGCGGTGCAACAAACCAGTATTGTTAAAATGACTACAAATTATTTTTTAATTGACTTTAACCTTCCACGACATTGTTTAAAATATTTTTAATTTAATTTATAATTCGTATTCTTTCCGTTTTTTATATTGCTAAGTTCATTATCACGATTGTGTTTACATTTCATTGCGCCAACCCTTGACATCAAATTTCATTCATTCATTCACTTCATAACGGTCTGCGGCCTCCCACAAATGCATGCCCCATTCGGATCTTAACGCAGATAGGTGCATGGTGAAGCCATCTTGGCATGTTTGGTGCTGTGTACTTAACAGACGCCAGTCGAGTTTTTTTTAACTTACCTACGAAAACATTTTTAGAAAAAATTTTTGTCCCGTTTACAGGCCTGTGCTGTTTTTTATCGTGTCATTACGTCAACATTTATTCAATTCATTTAAGCTCCATCTATCTATTCAAATTTCTCCACTGATTACTTGAATTTTATGTAAAATATTGTAACATACCTAGTTTGTAAATGTCATTACAGTTACCACTTGTTGCTATACATTGCTTCTGCTAATTGTATCATTTTTTCATGTTTTATAATGTAAATGTAATGTCAGTATATTTTTTCATGCTTTCTTCCATCATTTCCTGTTATTGTCTAGTCCCTTTGTATGTATGCATGTATGTGTTTGTTCTGTTTCTATTATGTTATTTTGCTCCCAGCATGTTGAATTGCATTCAATTAAAATGTTTCATTTGTCCGTTTTGTGTTATTAACACTATTTTTTATAAAATTATTTATTTATACCTAGCTAAGTTTTTCAAAACGGTTTAAAATAACAATTTTACATTATGTTTAATATGAAAGTTAAAAAATACTAAAGTTTTAATTATATAATTTTGTAAGTTTTTCACTTTTAAGCCAGAGCTTTTGGGCTAAATTTAAATCATTGGATGCTTCATTCCATGGTTCTTCATGACAATCAGCATAAAATTTTCCATTTACTCCCTCTATCTGGGAGTCCACAGAACAATAAACTACAGTTTGACAGCCCTCATAACAACTTTTGACTAGTAACCAGGAAATTGGCCAGAAAATAATTTTCATTATCCAAGAGGGTTCAACGTGTCTACCTAGTTTTGATCTCACCATTCCTGGACGCAAACAGTAAACAGACACGCCTGTGTTTTCAAGTCTTCTGCTGAGCTCTCTTGCAAACAAATTATTTGCTAGTTTACTATTGTTATAGGTACGGGACTTATCATAAGATTTTTCGGAATTGATATTCTCTAAATCAATAGACCCAAATGCTCCGAGGCCAGATGAAACTATAACGATTCTGCTGGGAGCTGATGATTTCAGTTTGTTGAGTAATAAATTAGTTAGTAAAAAATGGCCAAAATGATTTACACCCATCTGCGTTTCCAGACCATCTTCAGTCAACAAAAAAGGGCAGTGATAGACACCTGCATTGTTTATTAAGACATCTACTCTTGATTCTGTAGAATTTATATCCGCCGCAAAAGATCTGATACTTGAGAAAGAGGCTAGGTCTAATTTTTTGACAATAACTGAAGAACCTTCATGCTTTTGAGTAATTTCTTGCGCAACTTTCAATCCGACTTCAACGTCCCGGCAAGCCAGAATGACTCTGGAGTGCCTACGAGCAAGTTCGAATGCCGTCGCCCTACCGATCCCACAATTCGCGCCGGTGATAATGACTGTCTTGTTGATCATCGAGGCTTTGCTCCGACATTTCCCACCGGCCATTCTTCTTCGGATTAGAACAATTCCAAGGCCAGCTACACCTATTAGCACCCACTTCCACATAATTAAAATAAAAAATATAATGCGATTCGAATGACTAATTAAATACAAATCGTGAATCCAATAAGAAGGACGATATTAAAGGTTTACTACTATTATTATTAGTCAACAAAAACCAAAGATAAAGCACTACAGACTAAATTAACCCTGTAACGATAACTCCTATTAAGACTCAAACAATTGTGGTGCCTATTGCATGTCAGACTGACATCATGTCACAACTTATTTTTCAAGTAAAATTCTATATATTTAACAATCTGGTTGTTAATTATTTTTTCAAATCATTACCACAGTTCGTGTTTTACTTTTGGCAAGCTTAATGCATGAATATATATCCATGGTTTAATGTTTAATAGTATTAGTCCTGGGTATATCATGGTTTTAGTAAAGGGCATGACGTTTTTTAGTTTTTCAATCCTGAATTTTAAAGAACCAAGTAACATTCTTCTAAGTGTTGTTAAAATTTTCAAGTGAATTTTTTTATTCATGCGATTTAACATTTAAAAATTTTATTAAGACAATATTTTAAATTTCATAAAGAAAAATGATTCACAATGTTTTTTTATCGAATGTGAAATGTGCCACAGAATTTTTAATTAAGTTCTCGTTTTATAAAATAAAACAATTTTATATGTGTAGACACTTTTCAATATTTAAAAATATAAATTATTTTGTCCAAATTAATTTTATCATGACACGGAAAACAACACAAACATTTCACAAATTAAAAGTTTATAAAATTACTTACTTGATATTTATAACGCACAAAATATGATGACACGAATAGGCTACATATGTGCGAAAGAAAAGAAGATATAAACATTCTTAATCCATTCAGTATGGTTAACAAATCTCTCAACTTACTAAACTATTTGTTTTTTGGAAGTTTCATTGGAGATATTTTGTCACCAATGCCTGAAAGTGTAAATATGAACAACAAACGTTTGGTTAATAATTTTTTTTTAAATTTTGCTCTCATTGGCTTTATCTTAGGACCGAATTTTATAAAGTCCGGGTATAATCAATAAAAAAATCAAGGTTAAAGGTTGCTTTTGAACACTCACCAACAGCCTAGTCCCTAATGAGATCTAGACAGACAGGCCAGTGAAGTTCTGCTCATGGTCTTCATGAAATTTTGAACGTTGGTGCTATTACTCAAAATTTTAAATTCTGAATATTTGTTTATTAATTAATTAGGTCTCGAATTATTCGCACACATTTGATTCCTGGTTCGGTTTTTTAATGAAATAGGGAATAAAATAAACTTGTCCGATGTAGGATTTGTACTAGGAGCGTATGGAATCGACATTGAATTGTGATTAACATCGCATTTTTAATTAACAATTTAAAAACCTGAAAAATCAATGAAACTCATTAAAATAACTTTAAAGATGTAAAACAGATTTGTAACCATGCAAGCTGAATAAAATAGAATCGTGCAAAAGAAAGTTTTATATGGCTTTTATATTGACGATTTTCGGTCATTAACTTGAATCACAGACAAAAACTAAGACTGGCACTAGCACGCACTAACTCACAAGCACACGTGGTGTACATTATAAAATATTTCGTTTGATGGTTTGACCCTTAATTTTCTTAATGTTAATGTTTACAAGCTTTTTTTGGAGTCGCGAAATTTTTCATTCAAATGTTAAATTAGCAACTAATTCTTTTCGAAAAATCTCAATTGTAACATCTCATCAAATTTATTTCTGGCAGCTTAGTTCAGTAGCTATTAATTCTGCATGCAAGAAACGCTAAGCTCGAAAAATTGCTTCTTTGTGGCTGTATTCAAATTCTTTCTAATCTTGTTCTCACTTTTTAAATTTGTCGTTGAGACAGGGCAGCAGAGATTTGATAAGGAAAGATTGATAAGCGTTTCTGAACTGTTCATTCATGATTCCATAGATGTAGGGATTCAAACAGGATCCCGCCCAGAAAAATAAAGACGTCGACATGTACCAAATTCTATTCAGTTCACCTCTTTCGTCGGCCAGATTGATGATAGAGTACGGCAGATAAGTGAAAAGGAATGATATGAATATGACGACGATGATTTTCATGGAATGCTTCCTTGTGTTTCGTTTTTGTGATGGCCGCCTCTGTGGTAATGAAGATCTCTTAAGAATGTATTTCTTGTTCTTGCACGCTTTGTTGTTGAAGGAGGGGTTTTTCAAAAATAAATTTTCTTTTGAAATTTTGTTATTTGAATCGTCATCTTTTTCAAGAGTGTTCGTTCGTTTCTTTTGAAAAATTACTTTCCTAGATGGTGCGTATGGTTCTAAATAATTTGTTTTCATGATTTGTTTTTTCATATTTTCAATCTCGAGTTTAGCAGCATTCAGTTCTAAAAATTCACAACTTTTTACTGCATCGCCGTCGCTTACAAATTTATCGTCTAATACTTCAAGGTCAGAATATTTCAAGCAGCAGTTGTTCTCGACGCGTGCTTTCAAATTTGAAAAATTTTCCTCCCTTGCACAAACATCTTTTTCACAAATTATATTAACTTTTAATTTTCCACCCGACTTGCCACTCACAAAGCATTCATTCGGACAATTTGAATCGTCTTCCATGGAATTTAATTCAATGCATTCGTTTGAGTTAACATTTTTCCTTGAATTAAATTCACAGAGGCTTTTATCGTAACTTACATATGAAATTTTTGTTTCGCTGACAATATCTGCACTTACTTCATTTTTTGATTCGATATTTTTCGTTTTATTTAATATTTTAAAATCCTCTTCTTGGAAAGAAAAAAAGTTCAACTCAGGACAACTGATGCTTCGTTTTTCGACATCGAACTCGTCTTGGTAAGATGTTTTACGCACAAATGATTTGATCAGCCGCAAATTTAATTTACTTTTTAAGCTTGGAGAGTTCCTGAAGACGTTTGAAAGAGTTATGGTGGGAGAGCTTGGAGCGTCGGGATCACCGCAGGTAAAAGTTACAAATGGTTCGGCGACTTGTGATGCTATTGATTCGGCGGATGGATCAATCACTAACAAATGTTTCTTGCCCTCCAGTTTCGTTTCTACGGCCCCTTTGAATTTTACCTCTAACGTTAATTTAGAAGGCGACAGTGAAGGCGGGAGAGAATGCCGCTTAACGAAAACTGAAGTTTCTTTGCTGGCCTTGTCGTGATGAGGACAGCGAGAGTAGTGACATTTGTGGCGTCTGTGGTTCACTTTATAACTCGATTCAAACATGGAAATCATTTTTTCAATTATTGAATTATCACTTTCACCCGCCTGCGATGGATGTTTGTACAATTTCAACTTCTTCCTGCTACCTTTACTCTTGCACCAAATCAACCCGTAGCAGATGAAAACGACAAAACTGGGCAGCACAAAACCCATGGAGAAGACAATGTCTAAAGATTCTTTTGACTCTGATCTAACGTACGTGCAGCGAGAAATTTGATCGGTGTACCTAACTACCGCATGCCATCCGACGGCTCCAGGGATGACAGACGCGATGGATATCAACCAGACGATGACGATCTGAAGGATGAGGATTCGTATTCTAGACACTCTGGGATAGATCGACATGTGCACAACAAGAAAGTAGCGGTTTATTGCGATGAGGGCAATGTGCAAGCTGGAACACATGATCAGAACAGTGCCGAAGAAGGCGTGAAACATGCAAAGACCCTTGCTGAAGCGCCATCTCCTGTGATAAAAACTATCGGCGTAGAATGGCATGATGGAAATATTAAAAAGCAGATCTGTGGCTGATAGAGATGCAATGAAAGTGTTGTATGATTTTTTCAAAGTCGGACACCTGGCTACGACCATGAGGACTAATAAATTACCAGTTGAGCCAAAAATGATCATGATGATAACGAGGAATGCTCCCACGTGCCCCATCAAATTGTTGGGGTCGATTTTGTAGTTGTCTCTGTTGTCGACTGAGAAAAAGTTGTTGCAGGCAGTCGTGTTGTTGTTGTTGCCGCTGCCGTTGCTCGAGATGTAAACATCCTTGCTGCTATCGATATAACCGTAAAAATCGTTTAAGCTGTCACTGTTTTCGTTGTGGTTGATGCTGAATTTTCTGCTGCTGACGTTGTTGCTTACGAAGAAGCTGTTGACACTGCAGCTGCTAAATTTGCACGACGGTGGCATTCGCATTTTTGCATCTAACTGATTCTCTGTTCTGTTGTGGACAGCGTTCTTTGATGTTTGGTTCACGTTGTTTTTGTCATTATAGAACGTGTTGCTGCTGCTGCTGCTAACGTCGCTGTTGCCACCGTTCGTGCTGGTGTCGATGCTAGCTTTCGAAAACAGATTTGTTTTTGACGAATTCTGATACTCTTTTTTCATCTGCAAATTTTTAAAATCATTTACTTCATGGCTAGTAGCTAATTTTAGCGAAAAATTGAATCAAATGAACAAATATATTTAAATGAATTACCGTTCGAATGTGTTGAATGCAAATTATGCTTAATATTTTTTATCAACTTCAGGTTTTCAATAGCACCAATGCATAGATCGCATACGTCGTACAGCACAAATAAGCTATTTATAACCGCTCGTACGTTAGGAGTGCTTTTGATTTCGTTGACGAGGAGCATCAAACATTGTTTGAAAGTTCCGCATGCAACAAAACCATTCGAATAAATGAACGAGAATTACAATATGAAACATTCAGGAGTTTTCAACTAATTACATTTGCACAGTGAAATGAATTAATTACTGATCTCCACACTCTTTCCTACTTCTTTACTGCTCACTTCTCTCTCCCAGTTTCACATCTCTTTTCTTATTTCTTTCAGTATCCACCTGCATTACAAATTCCATCTATGCAGTCATTCCCATGCAAAACGATACGTCTGAATCTTAATTGGCGCGCAAATGAAACGAAAACACTTGAAGACATTTCATCCATGCAGCAGACATCAGAGGGATGCCAGGAGATGCACACGTCGGGGACTGGCGTTGTTTGCCGTTCCATCCTTCACTTCTGTCGTAATCCTCTTCCATTGGTCCCTTTTTTCTTTGCTTTATTTCATAATTTTATTACAAGTTCACACCATGACATTTGTTAATATATATTTGTCTAGATGCGCCGGGTTCTGCTTTGCGGGGACCGGTTCAATCGCAAAGTGTGTTGGGAAGACGGGAAGAAGTAGGGGGAGATGGAGGGGGATTATCTCTTTTTGTCTTCGTTTCGTGTGTGTGTTTGTGTGAGTGTATGATGGTATGTATGAGTGTATGATGTGTGAGTGTGTGTGTGTGAGTGTATGGTGTGTGTGTGCGTGTGTGTGTGCGTGTGTGTGTGCGTGATGTGTGTGTGTGCGTATGTGAGTTATGTGCTGCGCGCGATTCAAACTTCGTATCTGTTATTTAATGTGTTTGTTGCGTGTGCATGTATAATGCATCAGCCACCCGTACTAGCATTTCAAATAAACTCTCAAATGCATGTGTGGGGAATATATAAATTTAAATATTTCCAAACTGCTGTAACTTTTTTCTGACTTGTGAATGTGTGAAAGGATGCATTCATCTACTATCATTGGCTTCGTTAGAATTTTCATTTGATGGTTTCACATTAGGCTGTTAAATGCCCGTCAACGTTAGTCTTCAAATGGTGGCTATAACATTAACAAGTCCTATGTTATTCATCACTATTTTCATTGATTTTTGTGTAGTATTGCATTAATGACAAAATATTAGATAACAATCTTTACGTCCAAACATTAGAAATGTTTTCATGCAGATTCCCGGCACATTCATGTTGTTGTTGTTAGTGGTGGTGTGTTGATTGTTGCTGCTGTTGTTGTTGCTGGGCTTGTTGTTGTCGATGTTTATGCAACATGTTTTTTGTTAATTAACTCAACCTTTGATTTTAAGAGAACATTATAAATTGCTGGTGCATTTTTGTTCCAAATTGATTCAACTCCACGCATGTAAACATCCGTCAATTCAACTTACATTAGAGATCAAATCAATTTTTAAAATTTTTCACCTTCAAAACATGAATTTGCTCTTAGTGTGATATTTTTTATTGGCCGGATTTTCATGATTTGCACGCGAGTACATGAACACAGGTTCAACAATAAATGCATAAATAACACACAATTAAATGGATAAAATAAATTCCAAATTTGAGTTTTGCATGCAAACATGAGCTAATTGAAACAGCAAACAACAGAGCCGCCAATCCACACACACCTGAACTGAACATCATCCAGTAACATGCTGAACAAACATCAACCACAACAACGCACCTTCTCATCCAGCGTCAACTTAAGCAGAATCTACTTCCATTCAAACACCTAACAAGTAGGTAAGTCCACAATTAGATCGCCCGTATTCAGCCATGCCACGTAGCACAAACATCAAACACACACAAGTCCTTTTAAGCCATACACTTCTCGCTCCAGGTCAAACTTTTTTTTAAATCAATCAAATCTTGAAATTGACGAAATTCAAATATCCAATTTGATCATAATTATTTAATGATTCAGTTTGGTTTTTTCAATGTATTCAGCTGAGGGTGGACATAAGGATATCATATATCACACAGCACGTACAGGAAATAAATCGTATTAATAGTTGCTCTGCTAAAAACATAAACCTGCTTGAAAAAAAAACAAATCATCTAAACCATTTTTTTTTAAATTTATTTTAACATTTTTGTAATATGGGGAATGGACTGAAACATTTTTTCTTTTTTCACTAACGTAAACACATAAGAAATAATTTTTAAAAAGAATTTTCAATAAATGATCAAATTAACAAGGTCTGGATTTATTTGTCACCTCAAAATTTTATTGCGACCCTAATCCTTATAGGCTGAACGCTTCAAAGATGTAATAACGCTAATCCTCATCATCATCATCCTCATCATCAAAATGATGCTTTTTGGTTGTTTACACGTGTGCATAACATGCTGGGTGGCCTGTGTTAAAACCAAACACACACACACACACACCACACACAAACACAAACACACATACAAAATAGCGTACCAGCATGTGAAACAAACAGACAAATGCACGTTACAAACGGACGCAAAGCAGACACACACATACACAAACACACACAAACAATACAAGCACAACTTGCACGTGCACAAACATCGCACGCACGCACAACAACAAATGTTGAAAGAGGAATCTGCAACATGACTGGGAATGAGTGGACGTCAGATTTGTTTCCTTTGTTTTTAGGAAGCAAGATGCCTCCCACCACACCACGCCACACCACACTACGCCACACCACACTACGCCACACCACACCACACCACGCAGCAAACCAACGTCTTCTCAAATAAATTTTACATCGCATTACGCTCTGAGGCTTTCCACGAATTGGAAATTATTTTTTTTCAAATTTATGAAATTTGTTCCTTGTTATTTTCTTACTGGCTGAATGACTTTTCAGTAAATCAAATTTCAAAAACGCAAACTGTTCGTCGCACTTGGAGATAAAAAATTGTCAGGAAATAAAAATTTAATTTAAGCTCATTTGATGTAAAGCGATATTTGTGTGAACGATTTATAAATTTGAAACTGCATGTTCATCAAGTGCTTTCGTGTGGGAGCATGTGTTCTTGCGTGTATTGATTTCAAGAAGAGGTTCGTTATTTTTAGAAATTTTATTTGTATTGCTAAAATTAACTGGAGTTGTTTGTTGCGTGATAATTTTCTTTCAAAAGTTCTTCCTTTTTATTAGTGAGAATTTAATCATTTCATATAATTTTTCCAAGTTTTTCGTAAATTTTCTTCCTCCCAGCAAACATTTTGAACTCTCAAAAAAGTTGAAAATTTGTTTGCCATCTTTTCTTTCTTGCAAAGTTTCATTTGAAAATTATTTTAAAGCTTCAGAAAAACAAGAAAAACAATTTAATTAATTTAACCTTGGTATGTCGCATCAAATTCATTCAAAACTTGGCATTCAAATGTGTTTTTATGTACAAACATGCATGTTTTTGTGTACGCTTGAATAATTTTACGTGCTTCCATGTGTACGTACGTAAGTATAATTTTTAACGCACAGTACAGACGTGAAGTTATCATCCTCACGCCGTAATGTCTTTTTGCATCGTAGTTAATGCGTGCCGTGCACCCAGCCACCAGAGGAAGGACTCCCTGATCTAAACTGATGATGACTGATGACAACCGCAGATGCACCTTCAGAATTATTATCAACCGTCAACTATTGTGTTGTTGTTGCGTTGTTGTCGTTGTGTTGCTGTTGTGTTGTTGTGTCGTTGTGCTGCTTTACAACGTTCACATTTTTATTTGCCATTTGTTAGTCAGCTCTTCAACCAACAAAACTTCTTTCTACCGCCGTTCAACGTCCAACCTTCCTTCGCGCTCGTTCCTCTTCAAAGTGACGTCACGACCTCTGACGTCACGACACCTCGGAAATTTTTTTATAATATTTTAAAATGCTGCATTTCAAACTTTGAATAAATATATTATTCTTGAATCTCCATTTCTGTTTTACATTATTACAATATTTCTTCAGAAAGCGACATGTTTATTGACTGACGTTTGTCGGAAATTCTGAAATTCATAATTTGTACGTCTGAGATCAATTTCTCGTTTGCGAATTAAACTTTTCAACTTTTAATTGGAAACCGCCAGAAGATGTCGCTCTCACTAGAAAGGTTGGAATTTTTTTTAAATTTTTAACTTCTCCCGAAACAATATTTTCCTCACATTCTCATTTTGAACCGGCAATTTTGAAACAGAATATTAGTTTAGAAAAATATCAGTAAATGTAATATTAACGTTTGTATTAAATACACAATATAATTAATAACACCAAAAATGCATACCGACCGAAAATAAATCTTAAAGTGATATGGAAGTTTGAAACACTAACGATTCAAAATGTATACA